AAAATGCAACAAAATTACCAGTATTATGCCAAAACTTAGTAAAAATCAGTTGTATCTCCAACTGTCTATTCAGTCTGGAACACACTGGAATGTAGGGAAAACAATTTTTTTAACCCATCAAATTCCATCAATAGGAATCTGTTGAGGCCTTTCCTTCCTATTTTCTCCAGAAACAATTGCTGTAGGCATCAAACCATTGACGTATACAATACAAGGCAACAATCACCACTGACAATTTACATACCTGTCAGGGACTGAGAGGTTTATACACGTTTTAGAAAATCAATGTGAACATTTCTGTACATGTCAAAGTTTCCCCATTTTCCCAAGTGACAAGGCTTCCCTTCTAGTTTCACTCTCCTAGGGAAGCCAAATAGGACAAATTCATCTGATGCCTTTCCCAGGAGGAAAGGGAGAAACTCTGTGGGGTGTCCCAGGAGCTCTACTGAGGTTCCACAAGATTTCCTTGTATCAACCAAATGACAGGCTACCAAATTTTTACTTGAATTTAGATTTCTGCCATTTTTAATGGCCAATAAGTTTAGAAATTTTCCAACCAACCTGGCAAGCTTCCTTTACAGCTGACTAGAAAGTTCAAAGTAATTTTGACAAAACCAACTGAGCCTGATCTCAGAAGTCCGGGTGTGATCAGAAGAGGCCGCAGAATTCAGAGGAAGAAAAGGCCTCCTTCAAGTGGAGAACACTCTCTTCAGCTCACTTGACATCCCATTTTCACAGTGACTGGGAGACACTGAATCAGCTGTCTGACTAAACACATAATAAGAAAAATAGCAAATTTTTAAATAACCAAGACCTGATTCCAGACACTTGCTTGAATTCCTTACACAGGCACAAGGTTCAGATTCACAGAGCTATGTGCACAAAGATAGGACCAGGTAAGGGAAGTAGAAGCCCCACTCCAGGCCCACTGCTCTCATGGGGACAACCCAGCCCTTCCAGCCACCTGCCAGTGTTCACCAAGTCAGGGTTATCCCAGGTTGCCCACAGCCAAAGTGCCTGAGCTTACCCTGGATGTCAGGGGGAGAGTGTAGAAGAGGATCCTCACAAGGAACTCAGGCCTGAGCCAGCCAGTGTGGAAAAGGAGCGCTTTCTGCCTGGCTTTTGTATTAGAAAAGCACCTGTCTGTTCCCCACTGTCAGCTGCTCCTGGGCAGGGAAACAGTGACAGGAGCTGCTTCCTAGACATGGGTTGGTAGCTACCGGTCCCCAACTCAGTTAACACTGTCCCCAAGGGGCTTTCAGATGAAACAAACATCCAGCTCTCACCATTTTAACCACATTCCTGGCTTCCAAAAACGAACAGGAAACTCCAAGTACCAGAAACCCAAGGAAAATTCCCAATGTTTCCCAATTCCCACTCTCCCAGGCCTGACACACCGCAGGAGCCCCAAACTGAGGGAGACTCACAGACTCCCTCCTTGACAGGAACACTGATTGCTCCCAAATGTGTGCAGGGGAGGGGCTCCATGGGCGTGCACCCCGGGGAGCTGACACCAAAGGCCAGGGGACCAGGGTTTTCCACCTGGGTTCTGTCTCCTCCAAGATGAATCCAGGGGCAGAGAAGAGCTGAAGAGCTGGGCCTCTCCTGAGGAGGACTTGGCATGTTCCCCGGAGGAAACACCCCACAGCTGCTGGGACTCTCCCTCAGCCTGGAGAGAGGGCGCTCCCTCTGAGAATGGGGTGGGGTCTGGAAGACATCCGGGATGCCCAGGTAATGGGGGGGCCTGGAGCACCCCACTGCGGGGTGGGGGAGGCAACTGCTCCATCCCCAGGAAGTCAGAGTTGGGGCTGGCAGAGCCCAAGTGGCATCCAGCTCCTGGCTCTGGTCGCCCCATTGGTCCTGACGCCGGCCTCAGTTTCCCTCAGCCGATGAAAGGAAACCGAGTTTGGGGAACAAGGAAAGTTGTTGAAATGGTGGACAAAGGAGGAGGGCAGCTGACAGACCCCGTCCTGCGTTGGGGCAGAGGGCAGGGTCTTTATGCAAAGGGGAAAAAAGGGGAAGAGGAGGGAGGGCCCGCCAAGGGGCCAGAGAAGGGGTTGGGCGCTTTGGGGGAGCTCCAGGCTGCTTTTCTCAGCTCCTTGGATGGGAGAAGACAAACCTGTCAAACGAGGGTGACTGCCAGAGAAGGGGGAGACCAACTGGTTCATCCCTACCTGAGGGACGGGTCACGGGTAGCTGCATCCGACTCCGCAGCGCAAAACAAAACCTCAGATTCATAATAAAACGCTTCTTGAGTTACACGTTTCCTCCTTGATTTTTTTTAGCTTTTTTTCTTTATGCATACAAGAACTGGGGTACAGGCCAGAGGTGCGGGGGTGCGAGAGGAGTCACCAGAGACAGCGTGGGGAGCAGAACTGGCGGATGGACTGAAATCCACGGCTGAGGGGGGCAAGCGGGGAGACCGGGAGGTCTGCTGCGCCCTGCGGGCTGCTCCTGGCCTGCACGGTGTGTGTGTGGGATGGGGGGACACGGGACTCATCCTGCAGGGGCTGGCCAGGGCTGGAGAGGCCCCTCTGTAACCACCCCGCCCCCCAGGAGGCCCATGAAGGTGCCCTGAAATGGCCCCCAGTTCTCATGGGGAAGCTGAGCACAACCTGAGCTGCAGGAGAGACGGCGCGGCCTTTGCCATCACCACGGAGTGAAGCAGCTCAGGGCCGCGTCCTCCTGCCCCCAGGGACGGTGCGGGGCTCCTGACCCCCAGCTCCCTCCCCGCGCGGGCTGCTGCTGCCCGCCCTCCGGGTCCGCCCCAGGCCGGGGTTTCTCTCCCCGACCACCCTCCGCAGAGGCTGTGCCACTCGAGGCCCCGCCTGGCCTGCGACCAGGACACGCAGGGGGGGCGCCACTCAGAGCAGGGGCGCACGCACCCCGCCCGCCTCCTGATCTCCAGCCGCTGCATCACCGGGACTCGCCGAACCCTCTTAACACCCCCTGGCCGACCCTCCCCCTCTCCCCTTCTTCGTCCCTGTCTACAAGCCCCGGCCCCGCGCAGGACGGGTGAGCAGACAGCAGGGGCTCCCCGGCTCTCCTCCCCCAGCTCTGGCGGGTCCCGGGACCAGGGAGGGGACCCAGCCGCCGACCTCGCGACGGAAGCAGAGGGAACCTTCACAGAGTCAAGGCAAACCGAGAGCCCTTTCCACCCAAAGACACCTTCGCCGCACAACAGGGACGCCCACACTCGAAAAGAGGACACAGACGCGGGCGTCACCCCCACCCGCACACACTCGCACCCCAGGAGCAGCGTGCACCCCAACACGCCCGGGGCAGGGGCCCGAGGCCACACCCCGGGAAGACACCCCGCCCCCCAGGCACAGGCACACAGGTGACCCCGCCCATGGCCAGGAGGCGCAAATCTCCCCACCCAGGCATCCCACCCGCGAGAGCCTCCTGCAGCCCGACGTCCCTCCGGGGAGAAGCCCGCACTGACCCGGAGCCGAGGAGCCGCCAGGGGGCGCAGCAGCTGCTGCCAGCAGCCCCGGCCGGCCAACTGCGCAGGCGCGAATGGAGACACAGTGACGGCGCGGAAGCGTCGGTAGGGGGCGCCAGAGCCGAGGCGAGCCGGGCCTGAGCCCCGCCTGAGCCCCGCCTGAGCCCCGCCTTGCCCCTTCACCCCCTGGACCCTCTTACCTTGTTTTCAGTTGCTTCGCTCCCATCGGTCCTCTTCTGCTCCTTGCTGTCTGCAGCAATTTCACTCTGGCAGCCCCCAGCTCAGGTGTGCCCCGCAAGCATCCTGCCCCTCCCACAGGTGCCCACCCGCAGGCTGCGGCCCGAAGCCCGCACTCCCGAACACCCCTGTTTTCACCACCCCAGGATTGGCGCAAACCCCAAAAAGAAGCAGTCTTTCCTCACCCCTGAGTCCGCACACCATTTGCTGCCTCCACAGCCCCCACCTGGCTTTGCCTTGGCCAGTGAACCCCGCAGCCACGACCCACAGGTGAGCGGCACCTGAGCACAATCACAGCAGACACCGCAGAAACCGGCTCCTTCCAGCCAGGGCACCCCGGAAGGCTGGATGAGCAGCTCCTTTGCACGCCCCCCCCATCGCTCCCGACTGCCCCCCACAGCCCCGCTCCCCCCAGGGGGAGCCACTGCTCAGTCTCGGGGGACTCCGCCGTCCCAAGCAGGGGCGTCCGGCTCGGGGCCTTCTCCCGGCTGCGTCTCAGCGCAAGACACCCCCCCCCACCCCCAGCTGCGCGCACTCTGAGGTCTGAGACCCTCAGCTCTCTTGGGGGGACCCGCCCAGCCCCGGGGGTGCTCACTGCCGTCCCCGCCGCTCCAGGTCTCGTCCCCCCGCTGCCGGCGGCCCCCGCGCTCAGGCAGCCCTTGGCCGGGGGCACCGCCCGCCTGGGGAGAGCGCGCTCCCCGCGGGCCGCTCCGGGCCCCTCCCCGCCGCGGGCGCCCCCACAGGCCAGGCCCCCCCACCCCGCCCCTGAGGCTCCTCCGCCCTCACCCTCGCTCTCCAGCCCACGGGCCTCGCCCACGGGTGCCGGGAGGAGGATCAGCTGCTCCGGGAGCATCCGCAGCCGCGTCCCCCACGTTTGGGGCTCGAGACCTGGGCGCCCGCTTCTGGCGCGTCTGGGCGGGTTTTTGAGACTCTGCTGCGGGGAACCAACCCCCCACCCCGGCCGCTTCAGGTCACCCCGACTCTCCTCTCCGGGGGCGCACAGAGGATCCCCTCGCACCCCCTCCCCGGGCGCCACGGAGAAAGCGCCCCCCTGCCCCCGCCCCAGCCGCTGGCGTGCTCGGGGGTCCCGCGGTCCGTGGCGGGGGCCCCGTCAGCGACGGGCGAGCAGGTGGGGCGTCGGGCTCCTGCTCCCCCCCGCTGCGTCTGCGGCTCGGGGGTCCCGGGAGGGTCCCGCCGGCAGCTCCCCCCTCCACTCCAGGTCTTCGGCGGCAGCTCCCGGGCCGCGCCTGCCTCCCGGGGTCCGTGGCGCCCCCAGGCTCGCCCTCCCGCCGCGGGCAGAGCTTCCAGGGACGCTCACCCCAGACCTGCTCCGAGCGGGGCCCAAGTCCGTGCGCGGCCCCCGCCAGATCCTGCCGCCCGGGCCGGCTCCGGGGGCTCCGGGCACACGGGCAGAGGGTCCCGGGGCTCCCGGGGGCCTTTCGCGATCTCCCCGACAGCGCAGCTGGGCGCCGGGGGCAGGAGGCCCGGCCCGGGTGAACCCCGACTCTCCGCGCTCTCGGGCGGGCGCGGAGCTGAGGGCCCGGGGACGCGGGGCTGAGGTGGGGGGCTGACGGGCGGGCCCCCCCCAGCGCCCGGGGGATCTGGACTCTCTCCGGGCTCTCCGGCGTTCCCGGGGGGGCGCCTCCAGCCCCGGCCGCTGCTGCGCGTCCTTCCCGCGGCCGCTCGGCTGGGGCCCGAGCCCGCCCGGCCCTCGAGACGCCGCCTTAGAGGCTCCGCCCCGGCCCCAGGTGTGCGCCTCGCCCGCCCCGCCGCGGCGGCCCCGCGGAATGCCCGCATTCAACCCCCGCAGGGAGCTGACCCGCGCGGCGCAGGAGACCTCTCCGGTCTTGCCTGCTGCTCCCCTGGGCAGTGGATTTCAGTCAGTCTGCCTGTTCTTCTCCCCACTATCGCTGCTGAATCCTCTCACTTCCCACACCTTTGGACTATACCCCGGCTCTTCTACGCAAAAATAAATAAAATCTTTAAACAAAATTAAAACAAACTTTGAATTAGAAATTGGTAGAGATTTTACTCCATCAAAATATCATGCCAGTTAGTATTCATCAAATTGTGGAGTAACAGGCGCTCGAGTCTGTGAAATAAACTCTTAAGTAAATTTAGCTGATTTATTGAGTGCAAAATCCATATTCCTAGAGAGTTTTTGCTTGTGTTGCTAAATTTGCTTTCCTAAATGTTCTACTTATTTATATTCCTACCACACTGTTGGCAACACCAGCCATTATCATACTTTGTTTTTGGAAACCTAACATAAATTCACAAGTACCCAGACTGAGAATCAGATACAGGAGCTCCTGTTTTGTGTTATGTGAATCACTCCTCCTCTGCTACACATAGATTAATTTTGTCTGTTTTTGAAATAAATATTATTTAGTGTATACTAAAAAAAAATCATCCCAAGATCTTGTATTCATGAAGAAATAGATGGTTATTTTCAAACACAACTCCAGTTAAAATACAATACTTTCTCTCTTACCATAATTAATATTACATGCATTATAAAATTACCTACTAACAGCTGGGGTTGTTGCTTTAAATTAACAGAAGACTCTGGGTCAATGGTGTCCTCAATTTGAAATCTGGATATAAGCATGTATTTATCAAATATTATCAAATAGGAAAATGAACTCTGAATCACATAAGGTCACTCTTTCCATAAATAAGATATTTCTTTCCGGGCCTCCCTGGTGGCGCAGGTGGTTGAGCGCTGCACTGTGAAGCTGTCTGCAGCCTCTGCAGCACCGGTTCCATCCCAGCTGACCGAAGAGATGCCCACATGGCGGGGAAGACCTTTCCTGTCTCACCCGCTGCTCCCCTTAGCAGTGTACTTTCTCAGTCTGCCTGTTCTGTTCCCCGCTGTCTCTGGTGAATCCTCTCACCCTCCCATACATCTGGCCTGTACCTCAGTTTTTGTATAAAAAAAAATAAATCTTTAAAAAAATTTCTTTCAGTCAGGTTTTTCCTTTGAGACACAGCCCCAATCCCTTGTTCCTTGCTCATGGATCCCTGATCCTGTCCAGAGCATCAATGTGCCAAGTGCAGAGTAATGAATCAATGTTCTTTGTTTTTGGCTTGATTTTTTCTTTTTCTTTTTGAAGATTTATCCATTCATGCATACAAGAACTGGGGCACAGGCCAGAGGTGTGGGGGGTAAGGGGACTCACCAGAGTCAGAGTGGAGAACAGAACAGGCAGACTGACTGAAATACACTGCTGAGGGGAGCAGTGGACAAGCCAGGAGAGGTCTGCTGAGCCACTGTGGGCAGCTCTCTGGCCAGCTGGGATGGAACTCGTGCTGCAGTGGCCACAAATACGCTCATAGCTTGTATCTTAACCCCTTGCACCACCATGGAGGCCCGAATAAATGTTCTTTGATGTCAACAGTTCCTCAGTCCCTTCACCAGTTACAACCAACAAGACATATCAATGCAGGGAAAGGAGTCTGAGAAATCTTCCTCTTTCCCTATAGAGATACATAAACTAACTTACCCCTTTCTTTTCTTCTGTGAAATGGTTGATGTCTGGAGCCTCAGCAGCCATGTTGTGATGATGAGAGCCCAAACACAAAACCAGGACAGTAGAGCAGAAAACAGAAAGAGCTCAGTTCCCGCCGAATGCGCCAAGGAACCCTGTGACAGAGGACTCCATTGTTAAAGCCAGTGCTAGTGTGGTTTCTGTCACAGGTGCTGGACTCGCGCCCCCGACACCAGTTCCCCACACGATGTTAAGGCCTTGGTGATGGTATGGCAGCAATACGGTGTGCAACATATCACAGTCCTAAATGTAATAAGGATGGCTTTTTCCCTTCCTCAAGATGATGACGTTTAGGGTACAGCCCGAAGTGGAGAGGACCAGAGACTAATATAAATAGTGACTGAGACATCATTTTCTCTACCCTCATCCCAATTCTGTAAAATAGTAAACCAAATCTAATTTTAAACGATTTTGCCTATATTTGCATAAACTCATAGGGCAGAACAACCAAGCATAATGTTGCTGGCTTTGCTGATAATTCCACAGGGTCTAGAGTGAGCTTTCTAACGCCCAGTCCCTGCGGGCTTCATCAAAGTCACAGTGATTTTCACCTGTGATTTTCTCTTCACAAGGTTCCCAGGCTTTTTCCAGGGTTTTTCCAGTCCTGGCAATGGAGGCAAGCTCCCTCCCCTTTCATGGAGGTCTGTGGAACCCGGTAAGCAAGGTGGCAGGCTCTTCATGACTCGCTCTTCTCAGCTCAGCTCCAATCTTATTTCCAAAAGCAGCTCAATCAAAGCCTTGTAACAAAACATGTTTTTCATTTTCTAGTTTAAGGAGAAATACATAATATTCCCTATTGAGATTATGCAAAGACAGACAGACACTGTCCTGAGAAGCACAAATATTGCCTACACATCTGGGGGATGAGAAAAGCAAATGTTCCAGTTTGCTCATAAAAAGACACAAATGGCCACTGCTAAGACCACAGCCCAGTTGAAAGACAAGTTCTCTAGAGATAAAAAAAACATTAAAAATCAATATATTTTTTCTTTTTTTCTTTACATATTTTATTTTATATAATTCTTACATCTTTTTTCATCTTTGCACAATGTATGCATTTTCATTTTGGTTATATTCCCCATACAATTGCACCCCCCCCTTATTTTGACTCTAGTCCTTCTTTTCCCCGCCCCTCCCCCCCTTTATAGTTGCTTGTTGATTTTGATTTTTACTTTGTATTAAAATCAATATTTTTAAAAAGTCATTAAATATTATCCAAATCCTCCTCAGTGTGCTTTTCCCCGTGTATTAAGTCTCCATCTTCTGTGGGTAATTTTCCTAAATCCAATTTTTTATAGGATCTCTAGGTATTCTCAGTTCCAAAACATATCTATATTGTCAGTCTCTTTTTGTGAGTTTTTTGAAGACAAAGTTTAGCAAGTAACCTTTAGAAATAACAAAAACTTGAAAATGACCATACCTAAATTTATGGTATAAGAGAAAAGACAAAGATGTTTGCTCAATTTTGTTACACACACACACACACATTTCAGAATAATCAGAATCGTCCTACAATATTATACTGGAACATACTAGGTTTTAAAAATTGCGTACATTTTAGAATACTTTAATCAATTTTTACGTATGCTGAAAAAGTGTAACTTTTCCCCTGAATGACAATGTTATTTCTATGAAGTTTTAACATCTCTGGATCCATCCAATGTGTTTTAGCATTTCACTACAAAGACAATAATTTATTAAGAGTCCTAAGACACATCAAATCATTTGGCTGATCAAAGGCTTTACTATTTCTGAAATTTGACTTCAAGAAAATATTGTCACAGGCTTAATAAATATATGCAGATTTTTATAAAACAACACTAAATTACCCAGAGTGATAACTAGAGAATTTTAAATTTAGATCTGTTGGTACAATGCTCAACAATATTGACTGGACTATATTTTTCAGTTAACCAAGTCTGAGGGTAAAAGAAAACCAAGATTTTAGATTACCTAAACAGTCTTTAATTTGTCATCCAAAACTAGTAAAAGCCGTTGAAGAATACTTGAGTCTTTACTGCAGGTGAAAAAGAAATTAAAGTTTGGTTTTATGTAAGTACACTGCTATAATAAACTTAAAAATATTTAAAGCAAGTCATTCTAACACATAATATGTTTTTAAGATACCTCTCTCATACCTTCAACATTTTTTAGCACCATTTTCTTAAAGATAGCCATTTTGCTTTGACACTAAATTTTTCCAGATTTAGCATATCTGTTTTATTTTTATTTATTTTTTGTAGAGAGGGATTTTTATTTATTTATTTATTTAAATGTAAGATTTATTAATTTATTTATACAAGCACTGGGTACAGTCAGAAGCGCGGGAGGGTGAGAGAATTCACCAGAGCCAGAGCGGGGAGCAGAACAGGCAGAAGGACCGAAGTACACTGCTGAGGGGAGCAGCGGGCGGCAGGAGAGGTCTGCGTGCCATGTGGGACCCTCCTCCGGTGGCCGGGGAGCAGCCGGGGATCGAACCGGCGCCACAGATGCTGCAGGCAGCTTCGCAATGCAGTGCTCAACCACTGCGCCACCGGGGAGGCCCCAGATTTTCATTATTAAACTTAGTAGATCCTTAGTTTTATAGGAGAAATATACCACCATTTAAATAATGATAAAAAGAACAGATTTAAGATAGAGATATCAGCTGTAGTTTTAGTTTTTCTTAGGATAGGAAGTTCAAATTGCAGAGTTACAAAAATAAACAATTTCCTATACCAGAGGTTTTGTTGTTGTTGTTGTTGTTGTTTTTGGCTAGGACAAGGGAAGGAAAAATTAATTAAAGTGCTTACCTGGGGAACAAAGTTACTTCTTTTAACAGGAAGAAACTGTGGGTTAGTCATTTCAGAAAAGAATTTTATCAAAGGAAGTCCGGTTATAAACAAAACTACATTTATCTATCTCTGTTAACATACCAGGTCAATAATTCTTTTTGACTACTCCAAGTTTTTTTTTTTCCTTTTTCTAATTAAACACATTTAAATATACAATATAAGTATTAACTCCCAACATTACAAATTTAAGACATATTTGCTTTAATTAAACCATTACATTTTGAATTAGTTTTTGCTTACAATTTTAAATCACGATCTCAAAATTTATTTTTTTAATTAGAATGTATTAAGCATCATTTATAATTATTTTATTTTTTAAAGATTTATTTATTTATTTATTTATTTATACAGGAACCGGGGTACAGGTCAGAAGCATGGGAGGGTGAGAGAATTCACCAGAGACAGAGTGGGG